ATTAATGCAAACAGACACAACACAAAAGAAGATACACAAATAGCCAATAAGTACATGGCAAGAAACATGCAATGAAAACTCTCACCACCAACACCCACTGGACACCACAGATGAAAACTGTCACCACCAACACCCCAGTGCACAGCACAGATGAAAACTCTCACCACCAACACCCCACTGCACACCACAGATGAAAACTCTCACCACCAACACCCCAGTGCACACCACAGGTGAAAACTGTCACCACCAACACCCCAGTGCACACCACAGGTGAAAACTGTCACCAACACCCCAGTGCACACCACAGGAGAAAACTGTCACCACCAACACCCCAGTGCACACCACAGATGAAAACTCTCACCACCAACACCCCAGTGCACACCACAGGTGAAAACTCTCACCACCAACACCCCAGTGCACACCACAGATGAAAACTCTCACCACCAGCACCCCAGTGCACACCACAGGTGAAAACTCTCACCACCAACACCCCAGTGCACACCACAGGTGAAAACTCTCACCACCAACACCCCAGTGCACACCACAGGTGAAAACTCTCACCACCAGCACCCCACTGCACACCACAGGTGAAAACTCTGAGCAGTGTCATCGCACTGCACACCACCTGTCCTCAGCCACTGTGTGTTGCTCTAAAGGAATCCCTGAGGTTGGGAAAGTTACAAGTGAAAAGGATCTATGGGGCTCACAATTCTGACAACTGGACAAGTTCAAGATTGGGCACTGGGTGAGGGCCTCTGGCTACTTCCACTCCTGGTGGAGAGCGGAGCAAGCTGAGTGTGCAGAAGTCACGGCAAGAATGGAAGCAGGGAGGCTGGGCTCCGTTCACCCACCAGCTCTGGTGAGAACTGGCCAGGACAACTCACATACCCATAAGGGAGGGCATTCACCTCTTCATGAGGCATCTGCCCCTGCCCCTGTGACCCAAACACACCTCCCAGTAGGCCCCACCTCCAACACTGGATCCAATTTCAACAGGATGTTAGGACTGAACAAATGTCCAAACCACAGCACCACCCAGAGTGGCCACACTGAAAATGGCGACCTCCAGGGCTGGCAAGGGCACCCAGCAAACTCAGCTCCCCCTGCTGCTGGGGGACTTAACACAGCACAGCAAGCTCAGCTCCCCCTGCTGCTGGGGGACTTAACACAGCACAGAAAGCTCAGCTCCCCCTGCTGCTGAGGGACTTAACACAGCACAGCAAGCTCAGCTCCCCCTGCTGCTGGGGGACTTAACACAGCACAGCAATCTCAGCTCCCCCTGCTGCTCAGGGGACTTAACACAGCACAGCAAGCTCAGTTCCCCCTGCTGCTGGGGGACTTAGCACAACAAGCTCAGTTCTCAGAACCCTGCTGCTCAGGGGACTTAACACAGCACAGCTACCTTGGAAAACAGCTTGGGCATCTCTTTAAAAGCCACACCAGCCTGATGGCCAGCAATTCAACTTGTAGTTAAGAATCCCCCAACGACAAAATGGAAACATTTGTCCATACAGAGATCCTACAGAAATGCTCACAGCCCCCTTGCTCCTAACAGCCAAAAGCTGGAGGGCACAAAAGCATCCACTGATAAGTGGAAACAGACTGTGGTATGTCCAAAGGCATGCCCACCACCTGGCAATAAAAAGGGGTGTCTCCCCACTCACATGGCACACACTGGGCTGAGGAAGGCGGAAGAGTACATGCTGCCTGGCTTCATGACTGAGACAGAGACATCTGATCTATGAGGGCAAAGAAAGCCATGGGGGTGGGTGGGGATGAGGGCTGAGCTGGGGCTGCACTGGGGCTGGGCCTGGGACTGGGCTGGGGCTGGACTAGAGCTGGGCTGGGCTAGACTGGGCTGGGCTGGGCTGGGCTGGGCTGGGCTAGGCTGGGAAGGGCTAGATTGGACTGGGCTAGACTGGGCTGGGCTGGGCTGGACTAGACAGGGCTGGGTTGGGCTTAGCTGGGCTGGGCTGGGGCTGGGGGTAGGGGCAGGGGTAGGGTTGGGGCTGGTCTGGGCTTGGAGTAAGGGCAGGGGTGGGGCTGGGACTGGGCTGGGGTAGGGGCAGGGGTAGGGTTGGGACTGGGCTGGGGCTGGGGGTCGGGGTAGGGATGGGGCTGAGACTGAGGCTGGGCTGGGCTGGGGGTGGGACGGGGTGAGCGTAGGGTTGGGGATGAGGCTGGGTGGGGTGAGGCTAGGGGTGGGGTTGGGGTAAGGCTGGAGGGTGAGGCTAAGGGCTGGAGCTAGGGCTGGGCTGGGCGCTAACATCACCAGGTCACAGACTTTAAAAGGGTGAAATAACAAACTTTGACATCTGACTATTACCTCAATAAAGAAATAAAATCAGGCTGTGGCACTCACCAAAGGCCCCAGAGCTGGGAAAGGCAGGGCTGGGCCGGTTTATGCCTGGATCTCAAAGGACCTCTCTAGCCCTTTGCCTCAGAGCCCCCAGGGCTGCATGACCCAGCCCACACACAGGCAGGGCCTGCAGACTGCTCGGACATCACACTCCACGGATGACACCACGTGCCCAGAGGAGAAGCTGCAACCCGGAGTGGGGCGGCTGTCAGAGAAGGGGCAGTGTGTGCTGGCTTTTTAAGTTCTTAATATACCTTGGGGACCCTATTTCAAACTCAAAGACAAGGTAAGCAATTAGAGAAGTGCCCCTCAAGGTCAAACTCCAGCGCCCACCTGAGTCGGAGAAGAAGGTACTCACAAAACACTCTCCCCCGCCGGCCCCTCCCCCACCCCACGCCTCCCATGTGTCTGCACATGGCTTCACCCTCTCAGGTGCAGACTCCGACATGGAGGGGGTTCGAGTGGCACAGCAGGGACTGGCAGAGGACAAGGACACTGAGAGTGCCCTCAAGCACCCCCTCCGCAGCCTCCTGCACCCGCCCCCTCAGGCTTGGCCAGGCCGTCTTCTGTGCAGTAACAATCCAGGCCCACATCTCCTGCCAAGGCAAGGGCAAAGGGACTCCTGTTCACAGGAAATGAAGGCTCGTTCTTGAGAGCATGGAGAGGAGTAAGACACAGGCAGTGGTGGGGAGGCCACTCGGGGCTGCGGGCACGTCCCGGGAGAGCCCTGGTGGGGAAGCAGGCTGGCCACCACAGTGGCCCTGGGGGCCGGAGCCCACCCTCCAACCCCAGGCAGACCGCACTCCTGGGGCGCATCTGGGACCAGAGGCGCTGGACACAGGCTGGGACACGAGAGGTAGAAGAGGATGTGAAGCCACCCACCACCTCCCCTGGACCACCTCCCCGTCCACACAACGAGGTCACCCCATCAGTGCCACTCGCTGTCCAGCAGGCTGCACGGAGCTGTCCTGAGGCCCAGGCCTTCTGTGGAGGGCCACGGCTGTGCCTCTCACTTCGCTGCTTCCTAATCATCCCGTTAATTACCCGGTGCTCCACACAGCCACGGGCTGGGCTCACTCAGTGCCCGGCCCTGATGGCACCAGGAAACCCCCAAACCCTGTGAGGAGAGCAGGAGGGCTTCGTCATATAGAAGAAGAGGCAAGTGACCCGCAGCCCGTGACAGCTGAGATCTGTGCTACCCCGACCCAGTCCCTAGCAGCGCCTACAATACGGTCTGACCTCAGGGGCGAGGGCGGGGCGGGGAGTGAGGCGGCTGAGCCACTGCAGCGGCTGCCAGAGAGCAGAGCACCTGTCCTCACACAGAGCAAGGAGGTGGCCCTGGGGCTGGCGATCCCACTGACGGCCAGAGAGGTGCTCCCCCACGGCCCCCAACTGTGCCAAGAGGGAGGGCTGTCGCGCAAACAGTCAAACTGGAGCCTGCTCCTGCAGCAAGGCGGGCTGGCTGGATGCCAGGACTGCCACTGCCTGCGACCTCATCCTGGGGCCGAGCGGGAGGCCGCAGCCCCGTGCTCTAGGGACCCATCCAGTCCCAGGCCATGACCTGTCCAGGCAGCTTCCACAGCAGGATGGAGACCTTATTACCCAGAGCGGGAATCCAGTGCGGGAACCAGGCTGCTGCCCTCCTCTTCCGGCTCTGGCAGCACAGCCCCAAGCAGCAGTCCAGAGGCCTGGGCGCACCCAGCACACCTGCCCAGCACCTGTCCAGCGCCACCACACCAGGAGCTCACACACTGGGCCCGCACTGACCTCTGTGGACCTTCCTGATCCATCAGACACCTGCCTGGCCTCACCACTCCAGGAGCTCACACGCTGGGCCCGCACTGACCTCTGTGGACCTTCCTGACCCACCAGACATCGACAGAGCAGGGCTCTCCCTGGGAAAAGGGTCTCTGCCAGAGCCTCGGCCTCGGGGTCTGCAGAAGGCCTGCTGCAGCTCTGAGCAGACGCTGCCTCCCGGGTCTCAGCCTGCCTACCCCGACACCATGGGTGGCCTCTTCTGGGTGTTGAAAACAGTAACTGAGCAGCAGGTTTCAAAGCACAGCACCGAATCTCAGGTCAGAAAACCAGTTTACTAAGTCACAGCAGCTTTTTCTTTCCTGAGTAGCACAGGACTCAGCAGGAGGAACAGCAGCACGCGTGGCCATGGTCAACGTGGCACAGCTAGAAACACCGGATTCTCAGATTCTCGGCATGCGTAGGTCTACCCCAGGCAGCAACGGCCCATGCCCTTCTCACTACAGCCACGGTCCAGGGTCCCACTGGGTGACGGTGAGCGGGGAGCTCCGTCCCTCCCGTCTGCCCACGCCGTTCCACTCCGCTCTAGGAGGGGTGAGCAAGAGGCCAAGTCCAGAGCCAAGCAGGGAGACAAAATGGGACACAACTGGCTGATGCTCCCCGCGTCCGGAATATACGTTGACCGAATGCACAGACGGGCAGGTGGGTGGACGAGTAGAGTGCCCCAGGCAGAGGATGAACGAACAAGAACATTCCAGATGAGACTGGTGATGGGGGAGGTGGAGGGGAGAGGAGGAGGGGGAGGAGAGCAGGAGAGGAAGGCCCTGTGGAGGAGGAAGCAAGGCCACACAGGCCCCACCTTCCTGCTGGACAGAGTGGCACTCACCTCTGCGCGGCTCCAGCCCGATGCCCTCAGAGGCCAGGGCCTGGCAGGAGAAGGTCTTGGCCACCACCTGCTCCACGGGCGTGAGGGCCAGCGCCTGGGGCTTGCCGGAGCCCAGGCCGGGGCTGTGGGCCGCCTTCCGGAGGTCGCCCAGCTTGCGCCGCACCACGGCCCGCAGGTCCCGCCACTTGTGCTTCAGGTCCACCACGTCGCGGCGGCAGTAGCCCAGCGCGTTCACAGCCTGCAGGATGCGGCTCCACACGCGGTACCTGCGCGTGGGCTCAGCCCTCAGCAGCCCCGTGCCGAACAGCAGCTGGTGGTGCTTGCTCACCTTGGACACCAGCACCTCGGTCTCCTGCGGGCAGAAGTTGGGCTTCCTCTTCTTGGCCCGGGTAGCGCCGGGCCCCACCATCCGGCCACGGGGCCCAGCTGCTGGGTCCTTCCTCAGGCCGGTGGTGGGTGATGAGGTGGGCTCTGGCATCCGGCTGCCTTCAGGGGCGACCCCAGGCCCTGGAAAGGCACCAAAAGGTGGATGTTTAAGGCCCTGGGCCCATGGGGGCTCTGGTGGCAGCTCCCTAGGGCACCTCATCTTTGGTTTCTGTTTCGGGGTGGTCCTGGCCACCACCCCTCCCAGCTGAGTGTCCAGATACCTGGGCCCAAGATCCCCTAACACTGACACTGCCTCACTGGGTGCCGTCAGCAAGCACGCAGCTTCTGGGTCACAGTGCCCCATCTCCAAGACAACACACCCCTAGCCCTGCCTACCCCTGTAGCTACCATAGGGGTGCGGGAGCCGGGCAAGCCAGGTTGCAGCCTTGGGCCCTCTCCAGGGTCTCCTGCCATCAGCCCTGGGCTGTGCTGCTCCTGCGGTCGGCCCTCACCTGTGGACAGCCTTGCCGGCTGGCGTGCTAGAAGGCTCTTGCCTGCCCACAGCACGACTAAGAGCCCCCTGAGCCCCAGCCCCAGCTTCCCCTCCCCCACTTGGGCCGAGGCTGGTGGGGATGCCGTGGCCTGGTCAGCAGCCTCACCCCCTTGCCATCCCGACCTCCACAGCCCTCACCCCACGGGGGAGGAGGGCCACGCTAGCAACAGTGGCAGGGTCTCTGCATCTTTGCTCACATGCGAGCATTGTCATGAGCAAGACCAGCTTCCTGGAGGCAGGGACAGTGCCCAACACCACAGGCTCCCTGGTACAGGTCTGAGCCCCATGGGAGGAGCACTCAAGAGCAGGCCTCTCCCTGGGAGCCTGGCATCCCAGAAGCACCCAGAGGGGGCCTCTCCACCAGGAGGCATGCCCACCAAGACACCCACAGAGGCCACTGCATCTGTTCCTCCCCAAACACGCCAAGCACCCTGCCACCCCTCCCCAGCCCACTACACAAGGACAGTTGAGCTTGGGGGTGAGGGGCCATGTGGCAGGTCCAGAGCCCCCAGCAGGAGCACCCCTGCTCGGTCCTGAGACTACAGGGCCATCCAACTCTGGCCACCACGCGGCTTCCATCCTGCGGCCTGTCTGGGCCGGCTGCACCCTCGGCCCTCCTCAGGGGAAGGCCTGATGGGGGACAGGGGATGCAGGTCCCCAGCCCCCAGCCTCCTCCCTGCAGGAGGCTGCTGACCCCCCCGCTCAGCGCCTGCATCTCTAAGCCGCCTTCCCAGGACCCCTCAGACGCAGCATCTGAGCGAAGTACCTTGCTTCCTGGCCCTCAGGACAATGGGTATGCCCACCGGCCCCAGATCTCCTTCCCTGTCCTTCCCCGAACAGGGGTTCTGCAGCTTGCTGTCCGGCGCCGGGCAGGGGAAATGACGGATTCCATACTCGGTCCAACATCTAGTGCACTCTACGGACAACAAGGGACAGTCACGATTACTCAACTCAGGGCACTCCTGGCAGCGCCCGGCCCCCCAACACACACAGCAGGCACCCAGGACCTGAGACACTCTACTCAGGGCTCCTCCTCCAGGAAGCCCTCCCTGCCTGCTGTATCCTTTGCTAAATGCCAGCAAGGAGTTCAGAACTTTAGATGTTCCAGATTTTTCTCTGAGCCAGTTCTGAAAGGTGACTGCCAAGTAGAATACAACCCTTCGGCCAGGGCCTGCAAGGGTAGCCACAGATTAAACCCTGAACAGCTATTCCCAGTCAGCCACAAAGTACAAAATGGTAAGTGCAGCTCCAGCATTGTTTAAGGCAATTCAAAACCGCGGCACCCTCCACGCTCGCAATCCTACTACTGCGTTTTATACAAGTGCCATTCTGGCCGGGCACAGTGGCTCAGGCCTGTGATGCCAGCACTTTGGGAGACCGAGGCAGGTGAATCATGAGGTCAGGAGTTCAAGACCAGCCTGGCCAAGATGGTGAAACCCTGGCTCTACTAAAAATTAAAAACATTAGCCAGGCGTTGTGGCGGGCGCCTATAGTCCGAGCTACTTGGGAGGCTGAGGCAGAAATCTGCTTGAACCCAGGAGGCGGAGGTTGCAGTGAGCCGAGATCAGGCCACTGCACTTTGGCCTGGGCGACAGAGCAAGACTCTGTCTCAAAAAACAAAACAAAACAAAACAAAAATCCTGCCGTTCCACAGCGTATGGGAGATGAAAAGGCCGTGTGGAGGCAGAGACACGAGCCCCACCCCCCGGCTCCCAGCCCCCACACGGGTTTGGGCCCCACACAGAACACATCGTAATTTTCTCTCATTATTATTTCTATTTGTTGGCAAAACATTTCTGGACTCATTTCACTGAAATTCATTGATCCTCAGATGCGCCTTATAAAAGCATCTTCTCATCTCAGGAACCAAGATGTGTCTTTCCATCCATGGCATCCCCAGAAAGACACAGTGAACACCAGGCTGACGCCTCCAAAGCTGGACCCCACATGCCTGCCTGCAACCTGTTCTCCCAGGACCATCCTGTTAGGTCTCAGGACGCTGCTGGCTTGAAAGCACTCTCCCACCACACCCGCAGCCCCAGGCCGGGAAGTGCTCTCCCACCACACCCATAGCCCCAGGCCGGGAAGTGCTCTCCCACCACAGCCCCAGGCCGGGAAGTGCTCTCCCACCACACCCACAGCCCCAGGCCGGCAAGTGCTCTCCCACCACAGCCCGAGGCCGGGAAGTGCTCTCCCACCACACCCACAGCCCCAGGCCGGGAAGTGCTCTCCCACCACACCCACAGCCCCAGGCCGGGAAGTGCTCTCCCACCACACCCACAGCCCGAGGCCGGCAAGTGCTCTCCCACCACACCTGCAGCCCCAGGCCGGGAAGTGCTCTCCCACCACACCCGCAGCCCCAGGCCGGGAAGTGCTCTCCCACCACACCCACAGCCCCAGGCCGGGAAGTGCTCTCCCACCACACCCACAGCCCCAGGCCGGGAAGTGCTCTCCCACCACACCTGCAGCCCCAGGCCGGGAAGTGCTCTCCCACCACACCCACAGCCCCAG